TTGAAGTAGTTTTTGCTGTTAAATGCTCGAATTATTTCTCGAATCATCTGCTGTTTTATTCCAATACATTTACACAGCTCGAAATGCATTTTAAAGCGAGTTATTCTATGCTTTCCTCTAAAATTGAAAAAAGTGAGGTTAGGATTGACACCCCCATGCTGGGGCGATTCGCAACAGCATGCAAAGGTTTGCAAAACGTCTTAGATTGCAAAGATTACGGACTCCAGATTGATCCAATGGAGCTGCACAGTCTAGACAAGGTAGGTTTACGCCAGACCGCATCTTGTCGTAACAGGCTTCGCGATATCTCGCTGCCTGTTCCTCCAATCCGCGGCTGGCGTACCTACCTTGGCCTGCGGCGCTAGCCTGCCTTCGGCAGGCAATGCTTGTCCACCGTCAGTTACTTCTAATTTCTTGCATACTGGGGGGCTCCGCCCCCCAAACCCCCCTTTATTCTAGATAGAGTTGCTTCATCTACAAATTACACGATCTTGACCCTTGTAACTTTTTAACTTGTCGGGGCTGGGGTCACCGCCCCCCCAGACCCCCCTTCCATCAAGGCAGGCGAGATCTGCTTGCAGAAAACTCGATTTTTCGCCGTTTTTAGGGTGTTTTTCGGCTATAAAAACTGAACCAGTTGAGCTAGGATAATGAAATTTCGCGTGTGCCGAGCCAAGAACATATCTAATGAGCCTGCAAAATCTTAGCAAGATCGGCCGAGCCGTTCAGGAGGAGTAGTGCGCACAGACACACACACACGCACACACGCAGACAGACAAAACTTTTCAACCCCACTGGAGTAACGGGCTTCGCTATCGCTCAGCCAATGAAGGGCCAGACTGCTCAACTGGCACAAGTTTGACACCGATATGCAGAATGTTCTTAATTTTGTATAGAGAATTCCGAAATCTGTTACAAATCGCCCTCAATCGTACTCAACGAGTGTGACGTCATATTCTTTAAATGTGAATTTTGTCACGTTCCTTTGAAAAGGATGTCACATTCTTTTGAACGTGCATCAACTTTCTAACGAATATGACACCGTAATAGGATGGCTGAGTCAATCGAATGTGACAACGTATTCAAACGAACGTGACAAAATTCTCATTTAAAGAATATGACGTCACATTTGTTAAATATCAGTGTACCTATCTAGTCAATCTCTCGCACGTCATAGAAGAGACTTGAACACAAAAGTCGTTTGACCGCACGTTGCCGCTCTCGAATCGTCTTGACGGTGGTGCAAGCATCGATCTAGTCGTTTTATTGTGGCTGTGTTGTTTTTTGCAGATTAGAGGACGACTGTGCGGAGTCTCTCCCTTGAACATCGGGCGATGACACCAGATTCACATTGCTTCTGCTCGGTTTAACTCACTACTGTCACCAAGGTAAGTGCAAAGTGCTTCCGCCAAGGACTTTAATTAATGTTTAAAGTTGTGAGTCCGATTTAATTATTGTGTCTGCATTGCAGTCATGACTATGGAACGCAAATTAAGCCGAAAGTGTTCAGTTTCTGCTAAGAGGTTAACCTCTTCATTGGGGTTGAGTAGACACGTCCCAACCCGTACTCAGAAACCACAGGACTGTGCTGTCAGCAATACGAAGTGCAGCACTAGTGACAGTCTGCGATGTAGCGTGCAAACTGGAACAAGGGAGAAGAATCATGAGTGTCCAACCTGTCGCAAGAAATTTGTCTCTAATAGTGCCCTCAAAACGCACATCCGAACTCATACAGGGGAGAAACCATATGAGTGTACAGTTTGCTTCAAGAAATTCTCCAGAAGTGAAGGCCTTAAATCGCACAATCGAATTCATACAGAGGACAAGCCATTTGAGTGCACAGTTTGCAACAAGCAGTTTCGCTTTGACAGCGGTCTAAGACTGCACCTAAGGACTCATACAGGGGACAAGCCATTTGAGTGCACAGTCTGCAACAAGCAGTTTCGCTTTGCTCGCGGTCTAAGACAGCACCTTCGGACCCATACAGGGGAAAAGCCATTTGAGTGCTCAGTTTGCGACAAGAAGTTTCGCTTTGATAGCAACTTTAGACTGCACGTTCGGACTCACGTAGGGGACAAGCCATTTGAATGCACAGTTTGCAACAAGAATTTCACCTTGAAAACCTATCTTGAAAGGCACCTTTGGACTCATACAGGAAAGAAGCCGTACGAGTGCACAGTTTGCAACGTGAAGTGTCAAAGTACAGGTGCTCTCAAAACGCACCTTCGGACACATACAGGAGAAAAGCCTTTTGAGTGCACAATTTGCCATAAGCAGTTCAACCAAAGTAACAAACTTACCTCTCACCTTCGGACTCACACAGGGGACAAGCCTTTTGAGTGCGCTGTTTGCCATAAGAAGTTTGGAAGAAGTAGCGATGTTAAAAAGCACCTTCGGAACCACACAGGGGAGAAGCCTTTCGAGTGCACAGTTTGCAACAAGAAGTTTCGCTTTAGTAGCAGCCTAAAACATCACCTTCGGACTCACACAGGGGAGAAGCCTTTTGAGTGTTCGGTTTGCGAGAAGAAGTTCAGCAGAACTCACCATCTATCAATGCACATGAAGGTCCATACAGGGGAGCAGCCTTTTCAATGCACTGTCTGTCTCAAGAAGTTTAGCCGAACCGATGGTCTCAGAGCGCACCTCCGGACCCATGCAGGGGAGAAGCCTTACGAGTGTGCAGTTTGTTTCAAGAGATTCGCCCAAAGCGGTACCCTCACGACGCACCTCCGCACCCATACTGGGGAGAAGCCTTATGAGTGTAATGTGTGCAACAAGCGTTTCAGACAAAGTGGAGATGTGAAAACGCACCTTCGGACCCATACAGAGGAGAAGCCTTTCCAGTGCACGGAATGCAATAAGAGATTTATCCATGTCAGTGCCCTCAATGTGCATTTCCGGACCCATACGAAGGAGAAACCATTCGAGTGCGCAGTTTGCAACAAGAAGTTCACGCAAAGGGTTCATCTGACAGTACATCTTCCGACACATACAGGGGAGAAGCCTTACGAGTGTTCACTTTGCAACAAGAAATTTTGCAATGCTTCTGGCCTCAAGGTGCATGTACAGTACCATACGGAGAAGCGTTTCGAGTGTACACTTTGCCACAAGAAGTTCAACCTCGGAACAGGTCTCAAGAGGCATCTGAAAGAGGTGCATGCGAGGAATGAATGCGATTGAACTACTCGTATGAAAGGGTTGACAAAACAGTCGGAGAAGGAACCAAACGACGGGAGGAACTTTCGGAGTTTGTCAGTAGTTTTCGGAAATGATTTTAGTTGGGGGAGCACCCCTTTGACAGTATGCCACAAGAAGTTCAGAGACGATTTTTATGTCTATTCGTTTCAGTGGGATTGTAAAATGTTTTTGAGGACAGCGCTTTCCTATTTTGGCGACTCTCCACGTGATGAGTTTTCTAAATGTAGGATATTTATGCGCACTTTATGACAAAGTGGTTATAGCCTTTACAGTTGGGTACAATTGTTGCCTAGAATTGCCGCTTACAATTGTTATTCAGAGGAAGACATAAACCAGCTTTCAGTGAAGCCATTTTACAAGTGATGTTAATTTTTCTTTTTTAGTTTTTATAGCCAAAACTGTCACATGCGAAATAAAGAAGTTAAAATGATCGTATTAAATTCGTGTAATCTCAATTTTTACTATCCCACCATGCAACTATCCCCCTTTCGTCTTTAAACTCGAATTTTAGTGTCATTGCACGAGAGTGTTTTCACATCTTGTTCTGAAGTTTCCTCATTCAGTACACTTGAAGGTCCTGGAGATTTAGGGGCGTTTTGGCGGTGGAGACGATGCTGTTTCCCGATTAGAACGTGGATGGTCACTCAGCACTTGTGTTTTTCCATTCCTGCACGTTGAGTTTTGCATGCCTGTATGGTTCTTTTTTTCTTGTTTTTGTAATCGGTGACTTGTATTGGGATGAACTGTACAGTTTTTTTTTGTTTGTTTTTTTGTTGTAGAACCTTTAGTTGAAGTCTGGTCTTTGGTGATGGGTAGTCTTTCAAATTGGTTTTCTTTGTCGAGTTCTATGTTTTGAGTAGCAGACAAAAGGTTGTATGATTCATTTCCACCAAAAGTACCTAATTGATTTATTTCGAAAGCAAAGAACTTAAGAACCTTTTCACTCTTCGCATTGCACTTGAGTAAAAGTAATCTTACACGGTAAAAACGGAATTTGGTTTTCCCAGGAACTCCCTGGGAAAACCAGGTTCCGTTTTTACCGTGTATGGATCGAATCTTCAGTAAATTTTGTCTCAAGACAATCTTCTCTCTCCTGTTAATACAAATGCGTTTTATTTACCAAACTTTCGAAAAAAATAGAGACAGCACATTTCTATTGTATGTTGATATTCTGAGACTATTCTCTCACTTCAGGACAGCGGCCGTAACTTTGGACACGCCATAGCTAGCATACTGTTAATTTAAATGTGAGGGGGTGGTGCCGGTAAAAACGGAATTTGGTTTTCCCAGGAACTCCCTGAGAAAACCAGGTTCCGTTTTTACCGTGTATGGATCGAATCTTCAGTAAATTTTGTCTCAAGACAATCTTCTCTCTCCTGTTAATACAAATGCGTTTTATTTACCAAACTTTCGAAAAAAATAGAGACAGCACATTTCTATTGTATGTTGATATTCTGAGACTATTCTCTCACTTCAGGACAGCGGCCGTAACTTTGGACACGCCATAGCTAGCATACTGTTAATTTAAATGTGAGGGGGTGGTGCCGTGTGTTACATTATTCGTTATTGACCGTACATTTTCACTGTTTCTCACGCTAACTTTTCACGTGCAAATGAATGTCATGTCACTTTCGTGTAGGCATGACGTGTCCAAAGGTTTCTAAGCTCTGTGCACTGCTAGCGGGGTTGAAGACCGTTCCTCTCTTTCTACCTAACCAGACCGTGATCTATTCTACGTCGCAACCTTGGAAAATCCACGACGATATGACCTGTTTGTCTTAAATATTTGTTTCCTTTTTCAGTAGGAATAAAGAAGGAGCCTGGAAGCGAGCCGCTAGCCTTGGTGGTATCGAACTACCATTCCCTGTCCGAACCGTGGCAGAAACACGTCAAGGTAAAGAGTAAACAATACCAGTTCTATGTTTAAATTTATGCACCCTTAAGTGTTTTGACTGGGAAAGTTTTTTTTGAGTAATTTCAATACCCGAGACCTACTATGTGGGTCTCTCCACGATAGATGGGCGATCTTCTCTCATGGCCTAACTGATCCAAGGGTTTCCACATTTTACTTCAACACTGTTATTCAAATTATCATATCCAATAAAATGTTAACTCTGTCACTTTCGTTTGTACATTACGTCATGTTAGTTGGAGCTGCCGATTAGGGTGTCACATTCGTTTGAACGTGAATCATGACTCTGAAGAAAGTGACATCATATTCCAACGAACGTGACAAAATTCATATTCATTGAATGACAGTGACTTGTCAGCTATCTGCATCGACTTTTAAAAACCTTGAATCGAGACATGTCTAAAAAAATTTCAATCGCGTTAACAAAGATCTTAAATCGTTAAAAAATTAAGAAAATTCATGAAAATTCGAATGTTTAATATCATTAAAAGTGGTAATATTAACAGCAGAGGAATTTTGTAGTGTAATAAACTCTCTATGGGCCAAGCACCTGAGTCCTGAAAGTACCAAGAACAATAACGTCTTTACTAGCCGCTAAAGCCGGTGGATTTGAACTGTAGCACACGCTATATGTTCATGTACAATTTTGCACGTGGTGCTGCATGATTTAAAATCTGTGTGAAGTTTTTGCGTATAAAAGTGCTCAAATTTGCATAACTTTATGCATTTTCCCGCGTAACGTCATGCAAATTCCTCGCATGCGCACAAAATCAAGCAAGTGACACGTACGAAATTCTACGTAAACATTTAGTGTGTACTGAAGTGAATTTGGCGTTTGCAGTGATCATGATGCAAAGTCGGGAGTATTAATGCCTGACGGTGCTCTTTACCCAGGTCGCCGGCACTACATCACGGCCAAGCGAGCCAGCCTTCAGGTGCGGTGAATGCGGCCTGCGATTCCGCTCCGATGTGCTGCTCTTGAAGCACCTCCGATCGCACAGCCGTGGCAGCACGTTCTTCAAGTGCGACGGCTGTGACAAGACGTTCACCAGGAAGGTGCGCCTGATCGCGCACAAGCGGTATCCGTGTGAAGCCAAGCCCTTCACCTGCAATGTCTGCAACAAGACGTACACCCGGCGGGACTACATCGTCAAGCACCAACGTCTGCACGCTCAGCCGCGAGACGTGAAGGTTGTCGTACCCACTGATCACGAGTGCGGCGTGTGCCAAAAGAAGTTCCTGAACAGAGCGGCGCTTTCTCTGCACCAGTCATTCTCTTTCCATGGGTGCCGTGCTGGCGAGTCGTGGTCAGGTGCGCTCAGGTGTGACACATGCGGTCTATGCCTTCCTTCCACCTCTGCAGGAGGAACTCAGAAGTGCGTCAGCGAGAAAGCATCGGTGCAACCCACGCTGTTGGGCGACTCGGGTGCGAACGTCGAGCTTGACAAGCCGCTTACCGGTGTGAAAGGAACTGTTCCCAACCCGCGTCGTTGTCTTTCTTGCCGCACGGCTGCAATGCAGGCTGACGCGGCAGAAGGTAAGGGAGCTCAGAGAGAGTGTCCTTTGTGTCAGAAGCAGTTTCTTTTCAGCGGCCCCTTTAATCTGCATGTTAGATTCGAGCGCCACTAACAAGGATCAAAGTTCGAAGTATGTCCGCCGCACTGTCTCGAGCAATCCAGACTGCAAGTTTACAGTGAATGTCTCAGGACATCTTCTGGCCACGAATGTTCCAAGTTTGAGCACGTCCGACTGAGATACCATTTCCGCCTGGCCTGTGTATCTTCTATCGGATAATGTGTATCCCTGTTGGGCTTGCTTAGATTTGCATCACTCCTGGCGCAAAACGTGTCACATGACTTTCAAAGGTCGTTTCTAAAGTGCGAGCGTCAGGTCAAAAATTTATGTTTCTCACGCCGGTGTCGACATTAGTAAATTTGTTTTTCTTTTTGTTTATTCTAATTTTAATAGTGATAGCACCAATATCACATAGCTTGTTATCGTAATTACGTTACGAGGAGTGAAAATTAGGTCAGTTGATGAAATTGTATAAATATTGATTTTCAAGTGTGTCATTAGAATTCCAATTGGACTTAATTTTCTTGTTAAAATGCCACTATCAAATGTACTTAAGTAGGTTGTTAGTTAATGGAACTTGAACAAAGGTTCCTGGAGCAAAGTCGATGATTCGTTCAACCTTACTCGGGTGAAATCCATGAACTCCTGTTGATTTGTACGAGGTTTATGAAGATTTTGCCAGCTGAAGGCGAACTGTTAGTACTCTAACATTTCTGGTTGCGTTTTGCTTCTGTACTCTGTTTCACGTTCTGTTTCAAATTTAATTAAATGTTTACTGTTATGGAATTGCTTTGCCTATAATCGAAAAGAAATTTTGCTGCAGTGCATTCCAAAAAACATAACTTTACCCTTCAAACTACATTGTAATTTAGTATGCGTTTTGAAATTTACAATGTTTTGTAACGAAACGTCATGTTTGGGACGTTACTTCATCATCAGCGCTGTTAGGCCTCAGCAGACCTCTAGCGTTCGAGTAAGCAGCTTAATAGCTGCAAATACTTAGAGCGTTATATGCGATCAGTTCAATCCTCTATTTGTGAAGGGGTCGTGGGGGTCGTCCGTATGTTGAGTAACGCCTTCTGTTTCTCTTGCGTTTTACCGTTTATGTTTTTACTGCCAGAAATAAACTACTGTTTGTTAAATTTCAATTTTTATTACGTATGAAGTCGAAGTTTTTTTTTTAAAAAAACATTCATTTGCAACGCAACACGAGCAAAATATACTAATTACACAGTCACCTCCATTCTATTCTTCACAAATTAACACCATTCAATTAAAAAAAACTTGCACGTTTGAGTACACATACATGACCACCGCCCTCGTTCTCGGGTTCTGTTTGACCGACTGTAACTGGTCGGCAGAACTTTCGAGAGAATCGGTTCCTCACTATTTTCAACCAGAGGCCGCCCTTCTTACTTCAAGGGTAAAACCACAGAAGCCCGTCAAAATTTTTGATTCAGCATTGTGGCTAAAATGGGTGTATTCCAAATCTGGGACATTTTTTCCTATCACATCTGAAGAGATCTTGGGCTTTTCATAAAATGTCGGCTGCCCGGCAAAATATCCAACCTCTATTTGATTCTGTGTAGCTTCTTGCTTGCCCAGGGAGCCTTGGAGTCGTCAACTGCATTTTGGGGATCCATGGCCACTTTTTTGTGGGGTACAATCGAGGGGTGAATCACTAGTGTACTCATGTGTACTCACAAGTTTTGAAAGGGCAAAATTCACTAGTTTTTCGACCGATTTTGCGTTGAGTGATGTTTAAAACGCTTAATAAAGCATTAAGATGTTAACAAATGTGAAATTTATGGGTAAAGCAAGGTGTACTCATGTGTACACCAGAACGCACAGCGATTCACCCCTCGAGTACCATGACCATAGATTAGAGTGGTTTCTTTCTCAATTTTTGGTCTGATAATGATTTATTTCCGTCAAAAAGTTGGTGTTTTCCTCCAGAAGATTGACTAGGGTCGAATAATTGTCCCAGAAAAGTTAGATTTCTCACGAATCGTGAATCGCATATAAGATTTTGAAAGGTTCAGAAACAAAGGATTAAAATAGCAGAATCTATAGCACTCATTGAGCCCCAAACCGTGAAAATGGGCGGGGAAAGAGATCCGTGGCTACATTGCGTAATAGGAAACAGCTATCTATAACATTACTTATTAGCCGTGTAGTAAACGCGATAAAATTTTAAAAAAATGACCAAATTGCGATTCGCTTGCTTATTTAGATTCATCTTTGCAAGACAAACAAAATTCTCTACAAATCAAAGAGTGTACATGGTACGCTCTAACTGGAGCATGCCTGCAAGCACGCTCTAGCTAGCGCATGCCTGCCAAGCATGCACTAACTAGTGCATACATGCCATGTACACGCTTCCTGATGCAGAAAACTCCCTATCCCTTATGCAATAAATGTATGCTTCAGTTAGCGTGTACATGGCATGTATGCACTAGTTAGTGCATGCTTGGCAGGCATGCGCTAGCTAGAGCGTGCTTGCAGGCATGCTTCAGTTAGAGCGTACCATGTACACTCTTTGATTTGTAGAGTTGCTTTGCACGAAACTGTATGCTTTTCATGCAAATGCACAAAACACTGTACATAGTAATTTCGTGTGTAGAGAGTGTCGTTTACCGAAACAGATGCGCCCGTTTTGTGCAAGACTTTAACTTGAATTTCTCTTCGATGGATTTTGTCTTTGGAAATACAACAGCTCCCCTAAGAATACGGTCAGCGCCACAAGGAGACCGGTGACCAAGAGCACGAAGCCCACCTGGAGCATGGCTAGGTCCAGCGGGTGAATACTGTGCGGTGCTTGCTGAGCCCTCACCCTCTCAATGGTGTACTGGCGACTGTCTTTCACGTTCGTGAACCGACTGACGACCGCGGGACTGAGGCCAGCCCCTCTAAGCCGGCCCAGGGCCGCTTGGAAGGCCTTTCCCGACGCGGAGCCCTTCTTCGTTCGAAACAGGCTCGAAACGAACTGGCCCGATGCGGTGAACTTGTGCATGCCTGTGGACGTCTCCAGCTGCGGCACTAGAAACGGCAGCGAAGACTCCGCCAGCATGACGGCTGCGCTGCGACGCTCCACGGCGTCCAGTTTCTCCTGCACCAAGCTCTGGATACGCAGCTTGGTGGCCCGCTCCAGAATCGCAGCGGGCAGCACCGGTTCGATCTGTTGAATGATGCCGGGCTGGATGTAAACGGGGAGGCTGGTTTCCGCCAGCTCGTCCACTGTTTGGATCTCACGCGACGGGCACCGGCCCAAGAGGCCCGCCCGGAGTTTGCCGGTGTAGGCCGACGACAGCACCAGGCAGAAGAGCAGCCAGCATCCGAACAGCGGGCGTCCCACGCCTCGGTCTGAGGCCGACTGCCCCACGAGGGGCGCCAGGGCGTCGAGGACCGCTGCCGGCCGCCTAGTCAGCAGCCACAGCCCGGCGGCGACCGCCAGGGAGGACACAGTGGTGGCGACCCACAGCGCCGCGGTGAACTGGCCAGTGACGCTGCCGACCAGGCAGCTGCCCTTGCCCATGCCGGCCGGCACCAGCACCACCAAGCTGTCCATGCCCCACGGGAAGTAGTTGTAGTTGTTGCCGCTCCACACCTGCTGCGGGCTGATGGAATTGATGACGTCGAAGCTGCACGTGATGAGCAGGCGCGCCCACTCGTCGAAGCCCTTCCGCACGCGCCGGATTTGGACCTGGGGTCATGGTCATTAGGGGCCAGCGTTGGGAGGCGACTTTCGATATCGGCTTTTCGACCGGTCTTAAAATTTTCGTTTTTTAACGCTGATTCCAGATATGTATTGGATTTTGCGATCAGACATAGGCTTCATCACCCCACCAGCCGTTTTAGGTAAAAAAGCGGCAAAAATCGCATTTTTGGCTTTTTTACTTGTTTTTTCTTCCTGTAGAGCTTCGATTGGCGGTTTGGGGCCTGGATTCCGTTCACCAACACTAATGAGTAAAATAATGTCTACTTAGAACCTAAGTGAGCCCCTTCATTCGGCGCCCAGGCCTCAAACAATACAAATTTTTAGGAAAATGTTGCCGTTTTTTCAACTTTTTCGTACTGTTCTGACCGCTAGAGACCTCCCCAAGGTGACCAATGTGCATGAAATGGAGGTGGGGGGAGGGGAGAAGGTAGCCCAGCCCCAGGGCGCCGACGGCAGCCTCGTGGAGGGCGCCATGAAGCCGGAGAACTTTGCGAGAATTTCCCATTTTTTTCGAAACTTTGCCAAAAGCCCCCTTTTTAGCGCTCTGTAGGGGTTGTTAGCGAATGTGCGGGTCTTAGCTCTGCAAGGAAGATTGCTTTACCTACCCATGGCCCACCACGAGAAGGTGCCTGCACGTTGCCGTCGAAGCCGACGAAAATATCTACGCGCCGGTGTAACCGGTATGTTATATATACCTGGAGCTTTTTACCCCCGGTACATCATACCTATGCAAGTTTTACCCCCCGGTAAAATGTGCCTAGGCATGTCCCCTCCCCCCCCCTTTAACACCGAGCTGTGGGACACAGCCGAGACAAAACTTAAGTGCTGACCCGACCAATAAATGACTGTTAAACCTGTTGTCATCAGCTCTGCGGTAAACAGGTGACGGATTCCGAAAGTCGCCGCTCTGTCTTTCTCCCACTAGGAACGCTCCAGAGTGCGAGAGACGCGGTGCGATCAGTGGCTATGCACTCGCGTAACAGTCGGGTCACTCTGTAATAACACGCGTAATAATATGCCAAATGGCCGACATTCCCGAGTTTTTACCAAACTTTGGGGTGTTTGGGGCTTTTTTTGGTCAAAATTTTGAAGCTTAAATGAGTATAAAAGCGTAATAGTCGGTTTACAGGTATTAAGAGTGTTTAACTTGTCGCGGAACGACAAGTGCGGGTGCCGGGGGGTAAAACATGCCTAGGCACATTTTCCCGGGGGAAGGGGGGGGGGGGCAAAACATGCCTAAGCACATTCCGAGGGGGGCTAAAACATGCCTTGGCACATTGTAAGGGGGGAGGGGGGACATGCCTATGCACATTGTACCCCCTACCCTCAGGGGTGGGGGTGGGGGTAAAACATGCCTAGGCACATTTTACCGGGGGGTTAAACTTGCATAGGTATGATGTACCGGGGGTAAAAAGCTCCAGGTATATATAACATACCGGTTACACCGGCGCGTAGATATTTTCGTCGGCTTCGACGGCAACGTGCAGGCACCTCCTCGTGGTGGGCCATGGGTAGGTAAAGCAATCTTCCTTGCAGAGCTAAGACCCGCACATTCGCTAACAACCCCTACAGAGCGCTAAAAAGGGGGCTTTTGGCAAAGTTTCGAAAAAAATGGGAAATTCTCGCAAAGTTCTCCGGCTTCATGGCGCCCTCCACGAGGCTGCCGTCGGCGCCCTGGGGCTGGGCTACCTTCTCCCCTCCCCCCACCTCCATTTCATGCACATTGGTCACCTTGGGGAGGTCTCTAGCGGTCAGAACAGTACGAAAAAGTTGAAAAAACGGCAACATTTTCCTAAAAATTTGTATTGTTTGAGGCCTGGGCGCCGAATGAAGGGGCTCACTTAGGTTCTAAGTAGACATTATTTTACTCATTAGTGTTGGTGAACGGAATCCAGGCCCCAAACCGCCAATCGAAGCTCTACAGGAAGAAAAAACAAGTAAAAAAGCCAAAAATGCGATTTTTGCCGCTTTTTGACCTAAAACGGCTGGTGGGGTGATGAAGCCTATGTCTGATCGCAAAATCCAATACATATCTGGAATCAGCGTTAAAAAACGAAAATTTTAAGACCGGTCGAAAAGCCGATATCGAAAGTCGCCTCCCAACGCTGGCCCCTAATGGTCATCACGATCATTACGGTGGGCCGTGAAACACGATTTTTCGATATTGCAAACGTAATAGCGCGCCAAAGTTAAGTAGTTCATGACTACACGAACTCAACGCGACCTGGGCGAGGTCTGTAACTTAAGGCTTGACCCTTGCGCATCGACGTTGAAAATTTGAAATTTTGTTTTTTACCAAGGTTAAGCAAGCAGAAACGTTGCCAAATTTGCGCCAGTCGTCTGAATAATGTTCCCGCGACGGAAATGGAATCGTCTGGCCATGCTTTACCAGTTTAAGACCACCGGATGAATATCAAATTGAAA